TTTTACACAAAAAGGCTAGAAAACCTCTTTCCAATTCCTTTAACTGATTTCCTTGTAGGGGATTGAGAAGGAGAAAACCTAGATATAGCCCGGAATTTGTAAGTAAACAGTCATTTTGGCTCAATATTTTAAGTGCAAGCCAACTCGGCACAGTATTTTAGGCAGAATAAAACTTGCAAAAATAGAGTAATTTTAGCTAACATAAGTTTCATCTGTGACTGAGGGTTGGCAACAGTTTTAGACACATAAGTTCCATCTGTGACATTTCCTAGGGTTAGTTTGAGTGTTTGAATCAATTTTAAATACTTAAGTTCCATTTGTGGCATTTCTAAGGGTTAATTTGAGGGTTTGCAACATTTTTAAAAGTAGGTGGCTATTTAAATGTATATTGTGTGAGCATCGTAGGTGCGATAAGCGAGCGTCGCGAAGTGATGCAAGAGCGTAACAACTAGAAACGCCGTAGGCGCCGGAAGCATGAAGGGTGTGGGGTTTGCAACAGTTTTAAATACGTAAGCTCCATTTGTGATATTTCTTCGGGTTAGGTTGAGGGTATGCAAATGTTTTCAATACACAAGTTCCATATGTAACATTTCTTAAGGTTAGGTTGAGGGTTTGCAACAGTTTTAAGAGTAGGTGGCTATTTAAATGTATATAACATGAAGGAAACATGAAGGGCGTGGGGTTTGCAGTTTTAAATTCTAATGACGCTATTGTAGCAAAGCGCTAAAATAGCGGTTACAGCTATTCTTATAACGCTATTGTAGCAAAGAGCTAAAATAGCGGCTACAGCTATTCTAACGTTATCTTAGAAAAGCGCTAAAATTGCGGCTATTATAGCTGGTTTTAATAGAGTCATAGTCAATCGCTACAAAAGCGTTATTAGAGTAGCTGTTACGGGCAATAACTCTGAAAATGTAGCCTCTATCGTGCATACAAGAAATCTGGACGTACGGTTGGTTGGTTGGTAGATGACAAGTTAACGTTCGCTTCCAGCGGATGCTGATATTGCAAACTAGGTAGTTGTTGGTAGTCGTAGTACTTGGTAGTTGGATTGGTCCAAATTGGATGGTGTAGTTGGTTTGGTTGTTGATTCTTCGTTCATCTGGTCGGGTCGAATGATATGGCGGTGAAACTCAGCCCTGGATGGTGTGGCGTAAGTTACTCGATCTCCCTTATTCTTCCAAACTCGTTCTGATCATGGTATGTCTTGTTGATTGGTAGTCGAATGGTAGCCGTTGGTTTGGTTTGGTTTGGTTATATTATCTAATAACTGTTGGAAAACTTGAAGACCTGAAAAAAAAGTGAGAAAAGAGGAGGAAAAAAAAAATAAAAGGGACATGCGACCTTGTGGCAACGTGGTCGCAGCGACATTTAATGGTGTTTAACTGGTGGTCTCGTAGTACGTTGTTGGTTCGGAGTCTGGTTGCCACTTCGCAGATGGCTACAGATGGATGGTTTGGTTTTGCTTGGTTTGGTATCTTCGGATCAATCTGGTATCTTGCGGTGTCGAGGTTCCGTAGCATGTCGGCCCATTTCTGGTTGATCCTTGTTACTGCAGAACTCCGAATAGGAGTATTCTACAGGCTCGATATCCTCATGACTCAGACTTTCCTTGGCACAACGGTCTGCTTGATCATTGCCAGGAATATGGAGACGTGCGATGGGACCCATACTAATTCAATCGTAGTTGTGGATCATTTTTCTTATTTCGGCGATAACTTCTGACCTGCAATTAGATTGGAGGCTGCTTAGCGAGTCGGATAGAATTGCGGCATGCTCCATGTGATTGACGGATAGCCACGCTGTGATGCTGTGAACACTGAACAGTGCGGGGGGATCCTTTTACTAATGCGGATGCCTTTTGCTGGGATGCACAAACCGTAACCTGTTGCTGTACTACTCTTGGAACCATTGGTAGATCTTCAAATGGTCGGCGTACACGGAATCAACTAGATCAAGAGCGTTTATCGCCGAAGGGATGAACGGACGGACGAGGGAGTGTCAAGGTGTGGGGAGGGATCTGTGGGCAGGAGAGAACTCCACTGGTTATCACTACAGCTCTGGCCGGGCTTCATTGATCGCGGTCGCGTTCGTCAGCGACAACACCTTCCAGGAAATTGACAGAAACTCATATGACCAGGAAACAACCAATGAAAACGATGATCTTGATGAAAGTTCAAAGAAATTACATTTAATTGAAGTGTTGATGAGTCAAAATCTAAGGCATTTTTATTTAAGTAAATCGTATCAAAGTGTGCATTTAAATAAGCGAAACGCCTATATACAACAATTGCCTAATTTGCAAAGAATCGACTATCGTGGCTCACAGCGCTTTGGTACGATTTGTTTGAGATGCAAGATGGCTGGCAACATTGACAACAATTAATAAAAATATTTCGAGAACTCGCTCTAAGATTATAGGAATAAAGACAAAAATATTTTTAACCAGCGTTTGAAATTTACGAATAACATAGAGGACGTTCTGAAGAAAATTTTATGCCATTGGCAGATTTAACTGTTCAATAATCAGTGAATCGGGATTAATGGGAAGTAAACAAGTTGGCCCCGGTTGCACTTCACTTCATAGCACTTCATACTAAAATACTGTAACATTGACCATTTTAAATTTAGATAATGTAAAATATCCAGGAAGTAACACACCACAAGTCTTACTTTTCATAGAAATTGTCGTTGGGATTGTTACATAATTACATTTTAACGGAAACTGGTATCAACTGTCTCAGGGGTTTGCAGTACCGTTTAAAGAGATAGACCATTTTTTGACCAATCATACTTTAGTCTCTGAAACTGATTTTTTTTAAACGAGTTATTCAGTAATAATGTTCACAGCTCACCGTGGAAATCTGAGCCTTCAAATCCATGTGTGTCCAGAATTATATGCGTTTGAATGTTCAGATGACAATCGTCAATTTAAGATACTCTGTGATAATAGACTATATAGAATAGACATAATGGAAATAGTGAGTAAAATTCCTCGTTTGAAGTATTTTCGTACATTTCTAGTACTTCTGGGGACTATTACATAAATTTATTCAAGTGTTCAATTACTCCAAACTATCTATACCTCTTATATCCTGTCGCCTTTTGACGGGTGTCTATAAAACTAAGACCTAAGACTCTATAAAACTAAGACCCATAGGACAATAAAACTAGACCCATAGGACAATAATACTAGACCCATAGGGCTCTAAGACCCAACTAGAAAACTAAGACCCATAGGGCTATAAAACTATACCCATAGGGCTATAAAACTAAGACCCAACTAGAAAACTAAGACCCATAGGGTTATAAAACTAAGACTCATAGGGCTCTAAGACCCAACTAGAAAACTAAGACCCATAGGACTATAAAACTGAAACAGTTTCATTTACTCTAAATTATAACTTATCTAAAACTTGTCCAAAAAAATTTTGGGTCTTAGTTTTATTGTCCTACGTGTCTTAGTTTTCTACTTGGGTCTTAGTTTTATAGTCCTATTGGTCTTAGTTTTCTAGTTGGGTCTTAGTTTTATAGCCCTATGGGACTTAGTTTTATAGTTGGGTCTTAGTTTTATAGCCCTATGGGTCTTAGTTTTCTAGTTTGGTCTTAGTTTTATAGTCCTATGGGTCTTAGTTTTATAGTTGGGTCTTAGTTTTATAGCCCTATGGGTCTTAGTTTTATAGCCCTATGGGTCTTAGTTTTCTAGTTGGGTCTTAGTTTTCTAGTTGGGTCTTAGTTTTATAGCCCTATGGGTCTTAGTTTTATAGCCCTATGGGTCTTAGTTTTATAGTTGGGTCTTAGTTTTATAGCCCTATGGGTCTTAGTTTTATAGTTGGGTCTTAGTTTTATAGAGTCGTAGGTCTTTGGTCTTAGTTTTATAGACACCCAAAAAAATCTATTTTCAAAACGTTCTTAGTATTTACATTAATCCGTCTTTTATCTCAAGGTCAAGATGTAGCGATATCTGTATATGCGTTACGTATTATATTATATTATTCATGTTATATTATATTTTTATATCATTTAAACATAATGTTATGTACATATGAAAATCAGGAGAGGGGTTATATAGGCGAAAGCGAAATCCTTTTCATATTTATGTGGATAAAATATTGTTTAAAAAAACATTGTTAACATTAATACATTGTAACAATATTGTTTTATAGTGTTGTCGTGAAGTTTAAAGAGACACTGGGATACATTACGTTTATAAATAACAAATATGCTAAATTTCATCTTAAGACATAATACTGGTAGTGAAAATTATAAATAGTTTGAGGTTGTTTCATGTTGATTTCATGCTCGTTTCACGTTTTCACTGGTCGTTTCATGTTTTAAGGGCCGTTTCATGTTTTTTGGCCGATGAATTTATTTAAGGCGATTTAATTTGTACCACGCGCTGATAATCGGCCATTAAAGCGAGCTGATAAGATTTGCTTCATAACCCCTCATGTAGCCTGATAATGCATTAAATACTGCAACTTAACACCGTACACCATTGCCCTCGAATATTGTATTTTCCCCGTCCGCGCGAACCATCGTGTTGGCTACGGACCTGGATCTATTGAAAGTTATAGACTCCGAAACTCTGGGTTGCAACATGGTTAAGTTTCTGCTTTAATATATTTTCAAACACAATTAGTCCAAAACATCTGCACCAATTCCAACTTCTTATGGTTATTTTGACAGTTGTCAGCTCTGTCCAGAGGTTGGAATAGAGACAGATGCTAACAGTAGTCAGTATACTCAAGAACTGAAATACAAGTTGTACCAGTTGAAGAATGAACAGTTGTAGAGACTGTGGCTTAGTTGATAGAATAAAGTGTAAGCCTATTAGGCCAATTGATATAATCTTTGACATATTTGGCAACACTTTAATTTAATTAAGGTAAACTCACAGGTTTGTTGGTTGGTATGACAGATTAACAAAGTATTATCACGTGATACATACAGGATGGTATAAAGTCATGTGACTTCGCATAGAAACTATAGTAAACATCATTTCAAGATGGCGTCTTCTGCAGGTTCCCCGAAGTTGGAAGATTTTCGCGATGACAGGGTTCCCAGAGCTCTTTATTGGACAATGGAACAGGTAGCAGAATGGATAGAAGGCTTGGGATTTCCGGAATATAAGGTATTGTTGCTTAGGCCTATATGGTTTTAATTAGGCTTATATTTAAATTTTTATTGTATAAACAAAGTAAAAATTTTGAAATTTTTTAATTATATGCTTCATAAAAGAAAAATCAATGATGTAAACTATGGTAGTCCTATAGCACGGGTAGTGTTAGTTGTTAAAAATATTCATACATGCACATTTCAATAAAGCTAGTTTCAAATTTATAAATTGAATATCAAAACCAAAATAGAACTGAGAGTTAGTTGATTGTCTCCAGATGAATATTAATATTATTATATTCCCTGTCATTGATGTAGGTAAGAGGGGCTGACATGGACATAGTTGTTCGGATGGGACAATAAACTGAGGCGTGGTGTGGTTCAGGCTGTGGACATCAAAAATTGCCACAAAAGCACGCTGCTCTAAACTTTTCAGTCAGGCATGGGTAAAGTAAAGGTGATGAGGGATGAAAGCGAACACTGGGCCAGCAGACCCTGGACCAGCAGAACCTGGAATGCATTTGCATTTTCCAATGTTTTCTTACCTGAAGAGTGCTTTGTATCCACATCATATATTTAGGAGATTACCCATGCTTTGAATAGATTTCTTGTATACTTTTAGTCCTGTATTACCAGTAATTGTATTGATGGTAGAAAATTAATTCTATTAGATGCTTGTAAATTACCTGATATTGGTATAACAGATTATAAACATATAGAGGTTCAGTAACAATGCTTTCTATCTTTTTTTTTATATATCTTTTCAATTCAATTATGAGAAAAATAAAAATAATTCAGTTGAGAATTCTGTTGCTAAGCATTGGTTAAAAGCTAGAGAGATCAAGTATTTAAGATATTTTGTAACAAAAATGATCATTTAACAAATCAATTAAACAATTTCTTTTCATTTTAGAAAATTAGAACATGTTTGAGGGAATTATTGGAATTAGATGAACCTGATTGGAATAGAAGTATATCATTACCACCTAAATCTGATATAGGTAACAATATTTTAGCTTTGGATTTATAAGTTCACAGTTCTTGAAAAGCTGTAGCAAAGCAGCATGTTTTTCAGAATGCTAAAGATTAACTTTTAATTTCATTTAAATTATTATGTAATCTCTCCAGTTAGTGTATAAAAATGCTGCTCTTATAACTTTTGACCTTAATCTAATTTAACTGAGTCAATTTGGAACATCGAATAAAAAAAGTTGGTTTCATCAACGTTTAGTTTTGGTAGACTTGATAAACTTATATAGTCTAATGCTCCTGGGTAGACACCTTTCGTTCACATCACATAATCCCAGCTTTGGTGAGGGAAGAAATGTGATTTGCTGATGGTGTCATCAAATATTTTTTTCTTTCAGGGCATACCCGTTCACATTATCTTCATGAGAATCCCACTTTATTTTGGGATAGAAATTGAAACTTGTAATCATTACTACTTGTACTTACACTACCTAACAATACAGTGAACTTCTTTTATTTATATTTTGAATTGGTCTTTAAAGTCAAAAATATATTTGCATGAATATGATTTATGATGAATATCTCTTTTTTTATTTTACAGGAATGTATTTAGAGAAGAAAAGTCAAAGAGGAAAAATTATTGACAATATGAGTTTCCAAAAATACCTACTGACTGTTCAAAAGCTAGATCCAAAATGGCAGCCACCATTATCTAATCAGTGCTTGATAATGCCAAGGTCATAGGCTTAACATAATGACAAGAAACTTTTATTTCCAATTTTACAATGTGGAGAACATCAGCAAATGAGATAATTTTTAATGCCTCACCTAGTTGATTTTAATGTCTTCTTACCAGATTCACTTTGAGCCAGTTTGACAAATCGGTTGGTGGATTTGCATCAAGTCGAGTATACCAATCAAATATAGTGATAATAAGAAAAGTGTAGAATTTAACAATATAACATCTTCTGCTCTCTTTACAGACAACAAGTTTTATCAGTTTCATATTTGGTTTGATCTTTCATCATTATACTATTATCAATGATTACAATTATTGCTGATGCCTATTGGTTAACCAGTTTTAATGATCAGATATTATTTCACTAATTTAGGGTGTTGTACTGGTATCTGGTGCTTTGGATGTTTTTTTTCAGGTATTTTTCAATGTTTACCATAGGTAAACCCTACTGTAAATAATAAAGAAGTATCTCACAAGCTTTAAAATGTTATTGCCCTTATTCTTTCAAATTTTGGCACTTTGACATCACAATTCAATTCAGCACAGACAAAGTGTAATTGTTTGTTGTCAGCAGAGGTCAAATTTCATCGAAAATCAAAGAACCAAAAGTTATGCAGCCCTTCTTTCATTATTCAGCTTTATAACATTAGTAGGCTTAAAATTGATACTTAACATTCAAGGAATAATGATAAATAATTAGAATGAGTTAATGCCCTTTTTTTTTAACCTTGAAACAAAGCATCTTTTTTGATATAAATTTGTGAATAAATTTTAATATTTCATGCTTGTGATGTTCAATGTTTTGTTGATGATGCATATGTTTCTAACCAAGTTTTTGTTTTGTGGTACTGTGTGAGAGACAATGTGAGAGACAATATCTGGCAATGTCTTGATGAACTCAATAATGGTCCATTTTTTATAGATACCGCACTTTGTGCGAAAGTTGGTGAAAATTCAAGTTATCATAAGATATTGATATATAAATGAGTTGCAAGATTAAATATTTCCCTCAAGGCTCGGGAAATATTAAATCTGGCAACTCATTCATGAATATCATAATTTATATGAATTGTCCAAGTCACAGCCAAAATTCTGTGTTAACTAACTTTGGATATACTAATTGTTACGTGTATAACAAGGTTTTAGATCTCCGTGTGGCAAGTTACATTACAACACTTTAAAGGACTAAGGCAGTGTTCTTGGTGCAGTTCAACGTTCCTCCTCCAAAATTAAGACGGCTTAGTGATAAAAGGGTTCAAGTACCAGGGATTACATACTTGGACGGATCACAGTTTTGCCCAGAGAATTCAAAGAGGAACTTATGACACATATTTAAAGATGGAGAAGCTCATTGATGGCAACCAGCATATGATTTAACTCTGAATCAAATGTCCTTCATCCAACAAAACTGGTGGATATAGATTGTATTCATGACCGGTAAGTTCATCTGAACACAAGAGTCAAAAGGTTTCGGAAGTGTTGACGCATACCATGCTACCATCGGTGAACCTGATCCCATCTGATAACGCTATAAAGTCAAATAGGTTAAGTTTTTAAAAAAATTTAAAGATCGAAGGCAGTTCACAATTTGTCTAGATTGAGTTTGAATATCATGAACATCAATACACTTTTTCCGGAAAATCAAACCTCAATGTGTATGAAAGCGGACTTTATTGAGAGTATTTTTCAAATTAGGAATCGAAAGCTCTTTTCCAGCAGATGGAGAGACGCCAGCCATGTTTTAAGCCAAGATGTTGCAAGTTTCAAATTTCCATGAACATAAAAAATATAAAAAAAAAAAAAAGTTCAAAGGAGCGTTTTCAACCATTTTATTTATGTATATCAGATATAAAATAGTTCTAGCATAGAGCCACGCCAGTCTGGACAGTTCTAACTCCATTTTACAACTAAGCAATGTATTTTATAGTTAAGTTCGAATTCCACTCGCTCCTAGCATTCAAAAGCTTGGTAACAGAAAACTTGATCCAGGTCACTATCACAGTTTTTATGATAACTTGTCTAATAAAAAGTTGGAATTGAATGTTCACACATAGTAAAATGGCTTTATTATTTCGATTTTATATTCCATCTATCGGGTCTGCCCTCCACCATTTCAATCAATTCTTCGATCATTTCATTTGTCCCCATTTTTTTAGCTTTGAAAGTCATCCTTTTAAACATAACTTATCCCACCATTTTTACCATGTGCTTTAATCTCTATTGATTAATTCCTATCGAAGTCCATACAAGTTTTTAGAACGATACGATGTCAAAGTCCTTCAAAGATTTCTTTGACCACTGTCACTGTCAAAGAATCCTTCAAAAACTTTGATGTGACATCTGTGCCTAAACAAGCATATCATGGATGAAAAAAATATCAAATGTTTAAGTTCAGGGCAACCTCTCAAATTTCCATCATTTTGTCAACATCTATTATAGCTTCATTGGTAAATTTACCTGAAAAATAAACAAATGTTTTAACATAATCTTCATGTGAATAATTTCTTGGACAGGTTTTACAGTAAAAACCTAAAAAAAAAAAAACTCAGATAGTTTTACTATTTCTACTATAGGCTTCATCGCGTCTAACCATCCAATATAAATGTTGCCTATATTATTCTCTTACATCACTGATTGATGACTTGCTTCACAGATAGTGTTAAAGATGAGTTTCCTTATTTTTTAGTGTCAAATTACACAACTATATTGATTAATTGGTGTTTCTATTGAATTATTGTATTCTTAATCATATCATTATGGTCTAATTGCATATAATTAAAGTTTTAACCAATCATAAATGTCCTTGTATGAGCAGTCAAACAAAACAAAAGACAGTTTCTATTCATATAAGTATTAGCATTTTCATTTCACTAAATGGAATAGGGGAACCCATCTTTAATATAGCAACCAAGACATAATACTTTTTAAGTCATAGTTATTTTAACATTTATCTATTCTAAATGTTTTGGGTTTGGGTTTTTTGGCATAGGAACCAGAAGGGGAATAAATGGTCTATTTCACAGTTTGTTACAACTGAAATCACCATTAATCATGTTTTATTTGGAATTTTCACATTGTAATGTGAGCTTATATGAAAAGAAAAAATCTGATCTTACCCATAGCTATAATGGTTTGAGTGTGTCCAACAATACAATCTTTCAACTCACACTTCTCTGATAGAGAAGCTTTAGAACAAATGATACTCCCTTGAATATTACAACTTAAATACAAATAATACATTTATTAGTATATAAAATAGGAAATATTAAACAATCGCAGTAAAATACAGTCATCAAGTGATTCTAAGAAATATCTATGTTAATAGATTGATTTTGCAGACTAAAAACTTAACTATGGAAATTGACAAAAATATGTCTTTAAATCAATTTAAAGCAGACTTTACAGCCATGTTTGATTTGATTTTAATTGAGATTAATAAAGATAGTTTACCACAGCCATATACGCCCACCATGGCATGCGGATGTTAAGGGCAAGAGCAATAACTCTGCTTCTAACGGTCAAAAATAGCTCAAATTTGAACTTGATCTTCGTTTTATGATCATTTCTACACATAACGAATTTCATTTGATTCCATCAAAAAATCTAGTTTTTAGAGCGTTTACAAGCAAATGTTGACTGACAGACAGACCGACCAATGGACCTTCATTTCATAAATATGTATGCACATACCGAATTTCATTTGATTCCTTCAATCACTCTAGTTTTTAGAGTGTTTACAAGCAATTGATGTTGATAGAAGCACTTACTGTATAGAGGTTACAGGGCGATAACTCCTCAAAACTGACGTAAGAGGCCTAAATCTTGAAAAAGCCTTAAATTTAATCAGAAGCAAAGTAAACTTTCTCAAACCTTTCGATTTAGGTCCAATAACATCCATTTTAAGTTTCATCAAAATCAGTTGAAAACTAAGAGAGTAATAGCATATTCAAGATTTTGGGCCAAGGGCAATAATTCTGCTTCTAATGGTCGAAAATAGCTCAAATTCGAACATAATCTTCGTTTTATGAATATGTATACACATACCAAATTTCATTTGATTCAATCAAAAACTCTAGTTTTTAGAGCGTTTACAAGCAAATGTTGACGGACGGAACAACGAACGGACAGTGGTGCCGACAATATACGTCCACATAGAGAGATGTGGGCGTATAAAAAGGATCATCTCAAAGGCACCAACTTGTAAGATGTACAAAACTTATCAAATTAGGTGGAGGGATCAGATAATGTTCCAGGTTATTCTATTCTATGTGGACAAGTTTAAATTCTTGTCATATTTGTGTTGTCTTAGTGATTTGGTTGTTGTCTCTGTAGGCCGTTTGAAAATAAGGCCTCATTGATAGCTGATATGATGTAGCTGTTTTGGTTCACTCTAAATAGCCCTTGATTCCAAAAACTACTTTTGGTAAAAGTATAAGTAATTGTAGCAATGGTGGAATAAGAACAGTTGGATCACATTATCATATAAGTGATGTCATTAGACATAAATAGTATGTATTATAACAGTATTATTGACAGTTTCAAACTTGACTGAGACTCATTAAGTTGCACTTTGGTTCATCAAGCCTTTAATGCATCTTTATTCCTCAAACCAAATTTGTGGTTGATGTTCAAGGCAATGTATATGTCCATATGTGTATACATAACAATAGCTAAAAAGCTCAGGAGCTTCAATCTTGATCTTTAACTGTAGCAGAATTAATAACACATTTGTAAACAAACAAGATTTAGATGAGTTGTTGTGTACAATCTCTTGATTTACATAAACAATCAAAACTAGAACCGTGACAACAGTACCGAAGCAGTGCGCATCCAACCTGATACAATTGTGAAACGTTGCATTTTAAAGTCACAATGGGATTTCTTACCGAAAAGAAAAGCAAGTAAACATTCATTAGTCAAAACATCGTTTAAACCGTTTAACGTTCGGTAGTGTTAACACTCGGTAGTAAAAAAGCGATTTTTATAATCGCTGTAAAACTGATAATAAACAATGCACAATACAAATGAAGATATATTTAAATAGATTTGGTAGAAGACAATAACTTTTGTTCTGGTCAAAAGGTCAAAAAAGGTCAAATAAAAGTAATATGAGCCTTTGAAGTTTTGAAAATTGCTGTCTGCAAAACCTGAAGTCGGACATCAAAGATCAAAGTAAAAATAGTCATCCAAGGTCAATGACCTTTGACCATGCAAAGGTCAAGGTCATTTATGTGAAAGTTCAAAATGAAAATTTTTAAAATTGTTAAACCTATTCCCTTTTTTAAGTAAAGAAGGCAAACAACTGTAATCTTATCACAAATTGTCCTAAGTAGTGAACTATTTTCATGCCAGATTTCTAGGGTGACAAATGCAAACTTTGCGAGTTATGACAGTTGCAAATATTTCAGGTAAAGGTAAATGCACACCTGATGTGCCACGCCTACTTCTAAAATTTTAATTTGTCTGTGATGTGGTGTACATTATTAAATAATGTTCAAAATTTCAAGTGTTTACAATCATTAGCTCATGAGATATTCGTAGTTAAACGTTTTTTAAGGCAATGGTTACTGTCCGTGGATTATAGACACTGTGAATTTACGCACAGTTACTATAGAAGTCAGTGCAAAATTTAAAATTTTTAAAAAGCGCAATTTTGATCAAAATATCAAGTGTAATATATCAACAAAAAGGAGAGATTATGAACTCTAAGAATATATAAGAAAATTTGTTGTATGTTAATTAGGTCACGTGACAGAGCTCTTCAAAGTTAAATATTTTCAAATGGCTGTTGAACCAGAAGTTAACGATGCACAACAAAAGTGAAGATATTATCAGATATATCTTTTTAAACACCCTAGATAAAACCTGTGGTATGTGTAGTTTTGGTTGGGGAGCGTGACCAGAAGTAGACTAAAAAAAAAATAGTCAATTGCAAAACAAAGTTCGAAGAACGCACTGCAATAAAGTTTACCTTTCATCAATCCTAGCATTGTCCATAATTAAAGATCCTGTTAACTTAACTTTATCACCAATAACACAATTTTTACCAATAATACTTCTTTTAATAGACACTTTTTCACCTATCTGTACATCTTCACCTACTATACAGTCACTTCCAATCTAAAATTAAAATGATTAACAGATTATAGTAGAGCAACAAGCTGGGTAATAACACTTAGATACAGGAAATCTTATACCAGAGTTGTTTTAATATGAAAATTATGAGAAAGAAAAAGAGGGGAGTGGAGATGTAAGAAGAATATGAGGTGAAGAGTGAAAGAACAATTTAAAGAAGTGAAAAATGTCAAATGTCAATCAGAAGAGTATTTGTTTCTAGATTCCACCAACTTTAACAGAGATTTGATAACAGAAACCAATAAACTTGATATTAAGGTGTATTTGATATATGATACCTTGTACAAGAACTTATTTCAACAAATAGAGTAGGGAATAAAGGTCTAAAAGTTTTTTCGTGTTCTCTGAAGAATACCAATCAATTTCGACTTGGCTTCCCTTCTCGAAAATGTCAGATGTTTACTGTTTGTTATACTTTCAACCTAAAATAGTCAAGAAGGTTGAAAGCTCATCCAATATCATCAAAGGGTCGCACAGTTTTCAATAGGGTCAGAACCATAAATTAATTTTGGCAGCACCTAATGCTTCAGATCAAATAATATTTTCAAGGTAACATACCTGTGACTTTTCTTTAATTATGGCTGAAGGATGAACTGACTTGATACTTGTATTTTTATTGGATGACAAAGTTGATAATATCTTGGGAATCTGTTAAAATGAATATAAAATATTAGAATACATCAAAATAATTCACTGAATGTTTATCACACAACTTTATTGAAACCTTATCATTGCAAAACAATGCCATAAATAAATGAACAATCCAAAAAAAGAGTACACATACAATAACAAACCTGTCTGTTAGCTTCAATATATGTTCCTAAAGTATTTGCTCTAATACAAAAACCATCATCTTGTATATGAGCATAGCATCTTACACTTTCCCCATGAAAACAATCAGCCATATCTCCTTCATGATCTGTCCATGTTGTTAATTCTAATATTTTACTATTATTACTATCTTCAGATGTAAAATCATGGATATCTAGAAACAAAGTCATGATAGTGTAATCGACATAATCTGAGTTATTTACACAATATACAACCATTTTCCAAAAATCTAGTTAACACTTTGGAAACTAAAGTTTTCATTTAGTTTAGTTGATTATATTTTGTTGACAACGCTTCAATGGAAACAGTTTCAGGCATTGTCCGGAACTTAATTTACACAAGTCAAAATCAACTTGAAATGGGGTAGAAGCTTACATTACATGTACTGGTGAGATTTAAATCATAATACACAATATTAGGGAGATTAATAACCAATGGTATCAATAAAAGTAGGAAACATTAAATCATTAGGATTATTCAGGCCAATAATCACAAAATACAAAACGACATAAGTTTATTATTTGATAAAACTACATAAAAGACATAATTTCCATTCGTCAATTTCCATAACAATTAAATATAAAAATATCAATAATCTACCTGGTTTAGTGTCAGTTTGTGTTAAAGAAACATTACCAGGTAAATCAGTATCTGGAAGCTTTGGTCTTCGGAACTGTCTCCTTACTAAATAAGGTATCAATTCCCCTTTTATTGTACATATTTTTCTGAAATGCAAAAGTTGCCTTTTAAGATGCATTCTTTAAAATATGTAATAGACATTATTAGACATTGTTACTTTTGCTGACAAATTATGCAACCAATAGAAAAAAGATATTAAGGGCAGAACCTTCATATATACAGTTCCCTAGGGTTATTATCTATCATATGTGTTCCAATATATCAGGTTCCAACCATGTTTTTATTTGTTGTGAAAATTGGCTAAAAAATTTTGCTATGTAATATGGAAACCACTTGAAACTTAGTTATAGGCAATTACGCAACCATCAAATTTAGGCTAAGTGAAGCCAAACACACAAAACAGTCTGTCATGTGTGTTAGCAAAAAAACGTTTTTTTGGTATATGGTGTATAAAAATTGGTGTTCCAAGTTAAATGTTGGAGGATGTTCAAAAATATTGATTTTCCAAACTGCATTATGTGTTTATCTAGTGAGGGTGATTGTTGACATTATGGTGTTTAGTTTCACCCTAATTACCAGAAGTGACTATGAATGCTTGAGCATCATAGGAAGTAAATAAGTATCTAGGGACGCTAAGACTTCACTTGAAGATGATTTAGGACATTGGGAAGTTGTGTTGAATTAATGATGTTAGTTTTAGTGGAAGAACAACAGACGCCTGACTGAAATTTGTCCTCTGACACCCAAGTTTAGAAAATACTGAGACTCACTGATTTTGAGCTAAGAAATCTATAACCCATTTTTTAAACAGATATAAATGGCAATCTGTTAATTTTGAACGTATATTAATGAATGGATGTCTGAAATATATAAATTACAAAATTAAATATACATATGTTGTATGATTTAAACATAGCCACAATTCATAATTCTGGAAGGACAGGGGTGACAGCAAGATATGTCCTTATGACCATGTGGGTGTATTAAACTAAGCACTGTAAGTAGTCCAAGGCATTAGGACTGTTCAATTATTTTTTTGTCAACTGGACATTTTTCAACAACCTGAGAAATCTGATCTCAATTTCCCTTTGCCATGAGAAAAGGTCTTTATATTATATGGGTATTGTCATGATGTTTGGCAAAAGAGAGGTCAACTGTGTCATTTAACCAACAGTTTACTTTATCACTCATTCTAGTTACTCTGCCAGGCCATCAAAGTATGTTTAAAAGTTTGAAAAAACATTAGGTCCAATGTGCAGGTTTTATATTTCATTAGGTTACTCATTTTCTTAGCAACACTAGAGGAGATCTATAATAAATTAGATTAGTAAACCTTTTAAGTGTTGATTTCTGAAAAGATATGGTATCTTCTAAATCTGCTTCAGATGTTAAAAATAACACTCTTTTACCATTTTCATCAAAACCAATAAAATCCCTCTCTGCAATAGACATAACATTAACAAGATGTCATAAAAAATAGCACAGAAATCCCACTCTGCTAATTTGCATTCTCACAACACATGCCAGCCAACACATGTTTTGATAATTGATACCTGTTCAAGATAATCCTCTCAATTATTCAATCAACAAAACTTGTTACTAAAGAAAAGAACAGGGGCCTTATTCTCGATGGCTTAACTTAAAACCACTAAAATTGATTTTAGTTAAAATTCGATTTTAGTCGATTTTAACTAAAATTGATTTTAGTGATAGATAGTCCCGACCTGTCAATCAAGTTGTGACGTCGTAATGTATCCAACCAATCAAATCGTCGTCTGTAAAGACACAAGGTCAGTCTGCCGTCACGCCGCCTTTTGTGCCACATCAAAACGAAGCGACGTCGAAGGGATTTTTATGAATTTCTTACATTATTAATGTGCGTCGATGACCTTAAATGCTGACATATCCAAGCACGCTTGTATCTTCTTAATTCACCCTACTACTAAAACTACAAACTGATAACTGATGTTACTGATGGATTCCATTAATTATGAAGCGTGAGGAAACAACGGACCAGCGACTCCGAGACAGCGTGAGTGAGAGAATTGTAGAGTGGAGAATCCCTGATGTCAACAATCACAAATCGGTAATTATTGCTTCAGTAAATTCGTAAAAAAATCATTTGACTCTCAAATCCTTGACTTGCTTTTGTGACATGCAGACGTTAGTATGATTAAGAGTCGCTTTCGATTGTGGAGTCAAGTTCGGCCTCTTCTTGGCTCTTAGTTAATTTTAGTCTACCAAATTTGGTTTGACTTGTCAAGGCTCGTATAGAAGCGTACTGATAGTGATACCGCTTAGACATAATGGCCTTCCGTAGGTTAATTGATAGAAAGTAAGGGACCGTTCATAGGCCTAGAGACTGTTATGTAGATAAAAAACAAAGTTCAAAACAACAAATTGAGTTGCTTAAGTGAACTAGGCCTAGGCTAGACCAAGAAAATTATCATAGACCTAGATCTACATACATGTATGTTATAATATAGCCTACAACACAGAACTTTGAGGCCTAATGTAAGTAAGCCAAAAATATATTTTCTCAATTTAAATTTATTATTATTATCTATCTTTTCAGGGATGCCACCTCAACTTAAAAAGAGTTTCTGTGATCTATCCACAAGTTTAGCCTAGGCCTAGTTAGGCTGCCAATCTCGAATTCGAAATGGTACAAAAGAGGCAACAATTACCAAGTGAAAAATGATTTATGGACTGTTAGTTAGCTACTGTCATGTTATCTATGTATTGTGTTCTTAATAAAAAAATGTATTCACATGGAAAAAAAATAGTTTGTCAAGGCCCACGGCTCCCCATTCCACAAGTTATTTTCTTCACCCCCGCTATACTATTAATAATGAGCACAATAAAGGCCAATTTGTCTTCCCAAAAACTACATCCAAATCGTTTTAATTTGTGATCTTAGGTAATATTTGTAAAATAATCATCACTTGTTTAGCCGCCATTTTGTTTCGATTTTAGTTTAAAACAGGGTAAATGGTGTTTTAGTTTAAAATCGTTTTAAGTTAAAATCACGTTGTAAATAGGCTAAGGGAATACAACTTTAGCCAAAATTTGAACTTACAACTGATTTTAAGAGATTTAAGTTTTTCGAGAATAAGGCCCCAGCTTAAACTTTACAACTTACACACTCAACTTGACAGCAATGCTAATCCACAGTGAATTAACAGAGATCAATTTCCACTTGTAGATTAGATTTTACATACCAAATGGATTTATGGATGAACATACCTACCTACTGTTTTTTTCTTTGATTTTATACCTGGTGCTGGAATATCAATGAACTGATCTGGTAAAGTTGATAATAGCATGGTAGCTGATGAATCATATGCTTGATGTAGATTAGCTATATGATGCAAACTTAAATCTGATATTAAATCACAACTCATTACCAATACATCTGTCTATAATAATAAAGAACAAAAACATCAGAGCCATGTGTTGCACAGAAGCTGAATTTGCCATGTATAAATAGATCTGATGAAAACTATCAATAAGTATTTTAGAATATCTTCAAGCCATGACCTCAAACCTTGCACTGGTCCAGGTTATCCAAGGTCCAATCAAAAGAATATTAAAATTCAAAAGCCTGGTTCTTACTTTAAACCAAAAATGTAACTACATCGCATTTACTGTTCTTGATAAAGTATTTCAACCCACTCAAATATCCAGCCGTTCTCAAAATATTAATTCAAAAAATCAGCAACTCGGGAATAACTGGGTCAGCTATTGACCCTGAATCCTACATGTCACAAGGGACCACTTAGCTAGCATTGTAATTAAAGTGAATGGCAAATCATCACAATGTTAAAAAAAAAAGAAGTTTTAAATGCAAACTTTCGGATTTTGTTGTTGTTATATTTCAACATAACTAGACATTGTAAATATAATTAGATCTAGTATGACAAAAGAGTTGGGGTGGCACGGCACATTGGGGCTAATATTTGTGTTTAATAGTGACCATTCGTCAAATAAGTATGCATCCCTCACTTTATCAAGTTTGGAAAATCGAAAATAAAACTATAACCGAAATTTAATAAAAAGTGAGCAAGCGATGAATCCGTTCAGTTTGAGAAAAAAAAGAGTCTGGGTAATCAATGCTAAAATAGGAAACAATCTCTGTATACAAACAAATTTTGCCAATGATTAATATTCGTTGAAAATTGATTTATAAATTATATGAATTGCTTTTTCGTGGAGTCGCTTAATCTCCTACGAGGCATTATTATTCCGTCTTCAAAATGTCTGCCAATGTCTAGGTCAATTCAAGAGAAAAGGCCAAGGACGCGGGAAACCCGACTTGAGAGTTACTTCCCCTTGTGTTTACACACCGGATTTCCTAGATTGATGATTTGAAAATCGTTTAATGGATGTATTAAGCGTTTTATAATTAATTACTTGATTTTGTAGATATATCGGATTATTGAGGGACACCAACTAAGTCCACTGATGGATATATACTGTTATTGGCCAAATTGAGCAAAATTAAGATGTTCATCCTAAGACATAGCATCCCTTTAACTATCAATCATTCTTTGAGCCAAGTATACTGTTTTTTGGTGAGCATTCAGATGGGCATAAAAGTGTTTGCCAGTTACGTTCAGACGACCATACTAAGCTGGCTTGGTTTTTGGCTTGGTTTTAAGCCACCTCTGAACTAGTCGTGTTCAGACGACTAAAAAAAGTAGTTGCCTAGCAAGATACGCCCACTTTCCTGATATACTAATCTGTGTCAAATCATATCAAAAGTTTAATTTGTGCAAGATATTGTTGATTTAATCAAACAAATTATTTAATAAAATTTTGACATTAACTGTCACCTTTCATACGTTCACTAGCCAACAAATTTGGATGTGTTTTTACTAAGTCAAGGACAATGACACAAATTCTGTTCATTTAAAGATTGTCGAATTCAAATTTGACTAAGATCTCATCGTTATAAATGATCACACAAAATTGCATTTAAACATGAAAACTGTAGTCTGTATTGTGTTCAAACCAATATTACCCAGTATAATTGCATAAAAATGTGAGTCCTATTATTTTGGAATATTTTCTCAATATTTGTGTATGTATGTAAAACTATAGCAGACTACTTAGCATAAAGTTACCTTGATTTTATCTCTTATATATCGTAAAGATTCTGCTGTGCCCCAGTCTTCATTATCTGGTATAGGAACTACATCTAGCTTAATCTTAATATTACAATTACTTAAAGATCGGTGTATTTCATTAACTGATGATTCTAAAGCTATTATAATCACATCTGAAATAGTAATCATTAAATTTGGAAGAAGTCTTGCTTGTTTTAAGATAGTTATGCTTCTTGGTTTCAACAATTTGCTTCTTTGTTTTGTTCCATTTTTTTTCTGTCCTCAATCTCCAGATGGAATTTCACTGAAATCTGAAAGAACTATCCAATATGTGGTTTGATTGGACATGCTTATTGTTTCCAACATCTGGTTTGATTGGACATGCTTATTGTTTCCAATATGTGGTTTGATTTGATATGCTTATTGTTTCCAATATGTGGTTCGATTGCACAAGCTTATTGTTTCCAATAGTGGATTGTGCCCATGACTTAGCCAAAATACATCAAAAGTGAAATGAAATGAATGGAGTTTTACGTTCTACTTTTTTGCACCATGTAGGCTAATGAAGATGGGCAACGCCATAGGTCAGAAATTCAAAACATACATCAAAATGGTAATGTTAACAGAATTGACAATGTTTTGAATATAAAACATCAGTTTTATCGTAATTAATTAATTAAGTGTAAGTGCTTCGTCATTGTGTAACCCCTCATTTGCATTAGCCTCGTCTTGAGTTTCAACTCTGAGAGACTATCGGAGACAATTATCAAACTTGTTTGATATAAGAAATCCTGTCGGGTATGTGATAATCTTGTCTTGGAACCTTCAACGTTCATATCCCAACTACGTCCAACTTCTAAATCTAAACTAAAGAATTATTTATTTATTTATTATTAATTTAAGGGATAATTAATTTAACACAGGTAAACAAAGCATGAATTTACCTTCAAAACCAGCTCTTTCCAAACTATTTAAAGAGTACCATATCATTGGTCTATTACCGATAGGAAGGACCGCCTTATAACATTTAGATGTTAAATCTGTCATACGAGATCCTTTGCCCCCAGCCATTACTACTGCTTGAAACTCCATGTTAACTTCTTTCTGCTTAATATATATACCAATCAATTTAGGCTTATGTAATCCTTAAAAAATAAAGAAAAGATCACATGTCTAGGCACTAAAAAATCCAAATCCTTAACAAATCCAAACGTCTGATTACATTTGTCTACAAACTCAAACCAATGGATGGTTCAGTGCTGGCAAAGTGCCAAAATGGGTGATTTTCCTCTTCTCCTTTGTTTCCTGACCCAATACCAAGAGTTTTACCTTTTACACTGGCTGTTTTGTAGAATCATCATACTGACTCATGTAAGCACGGTTTGAGTTTCATTTGAGTTTGAGTTGTGCTTATGGACAAAGCGAAGCTTTAGAGTGAAGACACAGAGATCCATATGCACCACCAGGTGTGAATTTGAAACTCTCGGGGAGAAATTTGGAATGAGGTGGAATTGGGGGGAAATTTTTGTCACTAGGGGGAACATTTAGCAACACTTCAATAATGAATTCACTGATGTTTTCCAACTGGAACAAAGCACCAGTTTAAATGTGGCTTGACAAAGAATCGGAAAACTATTCAAATTTGAGTGCACAAGCACACAGAAAAAGAGACGGACTAAAATTAACCAAACTTGTTCCAGATATTAAGATAGTTCATCAGGAACATCATGCACGATGTTCTTAATGAAGGGCCTTGACACTTTGTACATTATGTAAATCAGAGGTCTTTGTTGTTTAAATATAAGAGCCGCGATGGCTCAGTGAAGTAGAGCCTTGCTCACTAACCTGAAGGTCCAGAATTCCATCCTTGCATAGTCAAGATAATATCTATGGATGTTTTAACCCTGTTTCTCACTGTCATTGATGCAGGTAAGAGGGAATGACATGGAAAAACCATCTAATCGTTCAGATTAGACAATAAACCTGGACCCTGTGTGCTAGAGGCTGTGCACATTAAAGATCCCTTGACAGTGGGAAATTGAAAAGATAGCTTGCCAGGCAAGGTAACATCCACCCACTACTGGCTATCAGAAATAATAATAAAATCTTTAGTGGATTAATAATGAATTTTAAAATAATATTAAAGTCATCTATAAGTCAAGGCAAAAACCTGAAACATTTCATCAAAATATTATCAAATTCATAATGAACAATGTCTCATCGCTGTACACACAGTAATCCGATTATTACCAATTTCGAACTTGATATCTCATCAATATATACATGCATACTAAGTTCATCGGATAAAAACTGAAGTCTCTATCATGTCTACAAGCCAAATTTGATGCGTTTTTACTAAGTCACGGACCAGGGCGACGGACATGGGCGACGGCAATATACGTAGTATAAAAAGGCAAATGCCTTTAGATTTTTTCAATAGACATGGAATCTGCTAGTTTGTCACATGACATTGTTATAGTGTTTAAATATACAGCTAGGGATATCTAAAGGGAATCTGGTCAATAAAATATTGTAGAATTTGGTAAAGACTTGAATAAAAGAAATTGCTTGAAACTACTACATTCATTCTTCAGGTTGACATTGAAGGGATATCCCATAATTATCAAAACATAACTTAAGCAAAGTAAATCATATGAATTAATTACCATTTCCGAATTGAAACAGTGGTTACACAAAATTGAGTAGTGTTACTGTACTATATGTATATTATTTATCTCATGTATTTCATCAGACAAGATAGTCTGAAACATCTGCCTCTATTCCAGCCTCTGATAGCTTTTTAAGAGTTTAAACAGTTGTCAGTTGAGAGTTTCTGTATGAATCCTTCACTTTGACCCATATTTCATGAGCAACCAACTCAGCAACGGCGGCAGAATGCATCACCTATTTTCGTGTACAATGTTTGATCTATAAATAAGTTGAGAAAACACGTTGTATGGATACCGGGTGGTATAATTAACTTCTCTTAGTATTAATATTTTATATCAATTCATTATAACTAGTGACAATTCCTTCAAAGAACCATGATTTTAAAAAAAAATAGTGACTGACATAATAAGATACGTGCTAAAAGTCACTGAAACAACATAAGAATATGGTCCACTTTGTGTTCCATAGAAATTTTCTGCCTACACGGAATCCGCTAGTTGATCACATGACGTCATTCGTTGGAATATATTCTATCAGACGACACTTGGAATTCCGATTATCGCTTGGGATTATAAGTGAAATCCGCCATTTTGTATTTGTCAAAGTATACATTATTACACTTTACCTTGCTTGAAACTACTGGATTCAATCTACTAGCTGATATTGTGGAGAAAACCCATGTTTATCAAAACAAACTAATGCGGAGGTCGCGCAAGGTCGCTCATGTAAATTATCAAACATTTCCGAAAATCTACGAATAATAGGTTTCCACGAAATTAGGTTACTTGACTGTATAATGAATTGATATTAAAGATAAATACTAAGAGAAGTTAATTATACCACCTGGTATCCATACCACGTGTTTTTCTAGACTTATTTATAGATCAAACATTGTACACGAAAATAGGTGACGCAATCTGTCACCGTTGCCGAGTTGGTTACTCATGAAATATGGGTCAAAGAGAAGGATTCATAAAGAAAATCGAAACAAATAAATTGTAATTATTTTGTAGAATATCTTAGGAAACATCTAAGAAACAAAAAATAAATTTCGTTTTTTTAACTTCGGTGTCGAATCCTTATATGCATGAAAATAGGTTACACCACTGTTTACCGGTATTTGGAGTCATACCTTCATTAGCCTATCCCCAAAACCATTTAAGTAAAATCTGCAGTTCCATCAAGATAAATCACAGGTAAAACCCCAATAAATCGGTGTCTAGTTTTGCCGATCCATGACAGCTATCAGAGACTGGAATAGAGACAGATGTTTCGGACTACGGAATTTTGATAAATAAACTGGCAAGGCTGACGCAATGTGAGTCTAAATAAAATTAGGGGAAATATCAGAAGATAGTCAATGGGTTATAATGCATTTTATGAAATGCGCTGTTATACTAATTTAAAAAATAAACAAGTGTTCAGTTTAGGATGCTAAAAATTTTATTCACATACCTAAAAATTAAGAACTATAGACGTGATGAGCCATGTATGCTGCCACATTGGAAAACTAAAGTTGGGAGTGTAAATTCAAGTAAACGAAACATTTTCGGTAACATTCACTGGGCTGAAGTTAGAGCGCAGAAAGCCAGCATACAATACGAGGTGTGGACAATTAGACGGGTCAACAAATACCGAATTTTTCATGGGAGAGTATATCAATCATAAGTGAGTAGGTATTTCATAATGAAAAGTAGTATCACTCAGGTGTCTAGAAGAGTAAGCATATCCTGCATGGCACCACACCCGTCATAGCAGCTAACCATACACAACACACACTACAAATACGAACGCGCCAACAGAAGAAATGGCGACATTATGAATTTATAAAAAAAATTAAAATTTCAAGGGATGAAAAAAACATGTATCTCTAATTTCAATAGTTCAAGGGACGTAACTTTATTTAATGGGAGGCAACTGACCACAATAATTGTTATATTATCTGAAAAGTGTATTAGACGCCAGGAATGTGGTAGCATTTAGTGATGAAAAATAGCATCAGGTGATCAGAAGAGTAAGCATACAGTGTTAGATGGTGATGAGAACATAGTCTCAAGAAAACACTGTAAAGATTTATGATTAAAAAAAAAGGTGCAAGTTAAAGGTTAAGATAATTAGAAACGTTAACTAAGGATGTCTCTGTAATGTTAAGTTAACGTATAGAATAATATGGTGGCAACTCGTTAATTATACTGTTGTGATGACAGTTTAAAAATGATTTTTAAGCAAAAACAACTGCGATGATAGCAGAAACAGATATTTTATAGTTTTCAACTAAGCCTATAGCCTAGTTCATGATGGCCCGTAAAATTTCATAAGTGGGGGTTTGAATCATTAGCTAAGTGCCCCAGTAATAGTAGCTTCAAAGTTAATTGCTTCGATCTTGCTAAGAAACCAGAGTAGAAAGAACATGCTCTAGATTATCGAACTTAGTTTAATGAAAGAGGAGAAATTACAGTATTAAATAAGTAAATTTTACTTTCGGTATTATCCATAAGCTGGCGCATGCGGAATGTTGCTGCACATAATAGAAAAATTGACGATTGGAAAATCAAAATCATCACACTTATCACATAATTTTACACTAAGTCTGTGTTTTTTTTGTCATATTCAAGACGCAGATCCAAATAGGATGCGTATTTTTCGTCAGCGGTTGTGTTTTTAATTTTTAATTCATCGTGATTTATGAAATCTAAATATTCACTAAATTTAGGATTATTTAGGTGGAGGACATCATCTATATACCGATAAATGAAATTAAAATGCTTAGCTAGTCGTTTGTTATTTTTTACGAGTGCTTGCATGTATTTTGCCACGCTTGATAAATGTCTTCGCCACGTTGAATCAACGAAAATGGTGTCAATTAAAAAAAACCGGCATCTTAACAACTTTGGTAGTGATTTTTTAATGGAATCACTATGGTTGACAAAAATAGGCCTATATTCAACACACTTCCAGTTTTAGAATGGAAAACACTATAGATAAGATCTTTAAGGCGTGCCTTTAGTTTACTATGTTGAAAAATCAAAGGTTTGTATTGATGAGACTCTTGAAAATGATTTAGACTGTAAATTTTTAGATAATTTTTTTAAGTTCTTTTGAATTTTTCGAGATCCAAATCTGATTGATTCCATTACGGGAGTATATAGTATTGCAGTCTGAGTATTTCTGAACACCCTCTTTAACAGCAAGTTCGCATTCGAAAAACGAAATCATCAAATTGTCACCTTGTTTACTTTGAGTATTGTGTCCCATAAAAAACATGCGTATATATTCAGCCATCGTATCACGAATACGGGTTTTGACATGGTCTTAAATGACGAATGGTTTGGACACAATGATATCTATCATACAATACCAGTTCTCATTCGATATACGAAATTATCTAAGTGACACCGAGCTTACTTTTTGTATAATGCACCATCAAACACACTTACGAAATTGGTTATACATATACCCAGCATACAAAAAGACTTTAGAGGCCTATTCGTAAAACTTTAATCATATTATAAGTCATCTTCACCCATAATTCCAGTCGACCCAGCTGTAAATGGGTACGGATAATCCGTTTAGCCAAGGATCAGCTGGTAGAAAGGATCCTTAACTGTTATTTAAAATATAGTTGTCTCTTTCTTTCTTACTTCGTCGTCCGTTGGCTATTTCAAAACCAACCAGAGTCACCCCTCAACCTCTTATGTCTATAAGTACAAATGGCACAGCTGTTACTTTAAGTTCTCGAAACCTCACACCCCCCTTATTTGATGCTACTGTGCTTGTTTGCTTGTGTCCTCACACAGTTGATTGTTTATTTATTGTCCAGTCCCACTGGCTATACTATTGAAAAGGGGAAACCCAGCCTAAAAATCCACTAAGTATGTTACCGGCCTTGACCGGGATTCGAACCCGGGACCCTCTAGATAGCAATCAAGTGATCGGACCAATGAGCCACAACGGCCCCCGAATGTTGAGTGATAGCTCTATAAACCATAGAACACTCATGTTAAGCTTTTGGAAAAATAAATGATGTGTAATCTCTCCTCTAGTGTAGTAGTTTTTATCTCAAGAAATGATTAAACATTCTACTGTATCTGTATTTGACAGAACTCTTGGAGTTGTTTCCTATTCATATTATGACTATTTACATTTCAGGCTTCAGATGATGATATTGATAGTGATAATGATCCAGATTATTGTGTCAGTTCAGATGAAGGTGAAACGTTTAAATCTAACGAATAACCTACTGCCACCGCATTACCTATCATTGGTGATAACAGTGAATCATCCATTGGTCAAGTTGTATCGGAATTAGATACAAACAATGGAAGTCATAAATCTAGAAAGAGAAAAGCTGATCCCAACACATGGCAAAAGAATATCAGATGTTTAGAGTATGATACTGGAGTATACGGAAACGAGTAAATGGCGTATCGGGATCACGTAGAGTTGGTAGTGATTGTAAAGATACATGTAAACTATCATGTACAAAGAAATTTACTGATGAAGAAAGACAAGGTATATTTGATTCGTATTGGGGAACCAACAATCACCAAAGGAGACGAGATTTTATAGTATCTCACACTAAAATATTTAAGAAAACGAGGTCTATGACTGGTGGTACTCCTAGTAGAATATCCAACACCATACACTACTTTTTACCACAAGGCAGAGACAACATTCATGTCTGTAAGGTCTATTTTCATTAGATATATCTGATTCAACTGTAAAATACAATGTCAACAACTCTAATAATGGGTTGGTTATTTTTGCAGAACCAAAAGTACCTGTTAACAAAACGTCTGATACCAAAAAACAATGTGTTATTAACCATATCAATTCTTTTCCAAAAGTTGATAGTCGCTATTGCAGAGCCACAACTAAAAGAAAATACCTTGATCCAAGTTTAAATATAAAGGCTATGTACAGATTATATAGTGTTAAATGTGAAGAAGAAGGATCTTCAATGGTCACTGAATCTATGTATCGATACATTTTTAATACAGAGTTTAATCTCGGGTTTCACACACCAGGAAAAGACACATGTACTAAATATAAAATGAAGTAAGAAGCCAATACATTAACTGAAGTTGATGACAAGAACCAGGAAGAACATTTAAAGAGAAAGCAACAAGCAAGAAATTCCAAAGAAAAGGATAAAACAAGAGATGACAGCTGTGTTTGATCTCCAGCAAGTAATGACTGTTCCAAAGCTAAATATTGGTTCTGCCTATTACCTTATGAAATTGAATGTATATAATTTAACGGTACTGGAGTTACAAAGCCACCAAGGACACTGCTACACTTGGAATGAACCCGAGTGCAAAAGAGGCACAAATGAAATTGCTTCAGCAATTACAATAGGGCTAGCAGCTAAAGATGCTGAAGGTTTTGAGCATGTAATTCTTTACAGTGATTCTTGTGGGGGTCAGAATCGAAATAGACTAATGTGTACAGCATTAATACATTTTCTTTATAAAGCTAAAAACATTAAATTGATTGCACAAAAGTTTTTCGAGTCGGGTCAAAGCCAAAACGAATGCGATGCAATGCATTCTTGTATAGAACGAGATTTCAGAAAATGTAGTGTGTTCTTGCCATCTGGTTACCAAATCCACATGAAAAATGCCAACAAACGAAATCCATATGAGATACACCAACTTACGCATGACATGATATTAGATTTCGATGGCTTGAATTCTGTAGGATTTAAGCAAAATGCTTTTAATGGTATCATTTCTATGCATCATATTGTGTATTCTTAAGAAAGCACAGAAGTCCGAGTTTCGTTCTCTGTCGAAATTGGTGGTGAAGTTGAAGAAAAATTGTATAGAAAACGTGGCCAGCCTATCAACTTTAGCGGCTATTCCATGTCAAAGTCATACAGTGCTCGGCTTCCAATCGATGCTCAGAAAAAAAACGATCTCTTAAAGATAATGGAGTTTGTACCAACAGATAGTCAACATTTCTTTATGGAATTACCAGTCCAAATAAATACAGAAGAATAATCCATACTGCTATGTATTTCAATAGTTCCGTTATAGTTCTGATATAGTTCCTTTTGGTATAAATTCTTAGTTGCTCTTATTGCGTCATGTCTACAGTTATTTTCTGGATTACGCATTTGATTTGGATGTTAGTTTTACATAAAATTGTTGTTAAAAATAAAATTTGTTATTTTTTATTATTGTTTTTTTTTCACTTACAACATTTTTGCTCCAAACATCTTCGAAGTATGTTTGGAGCAAAAATGTCGTATGTGAGTTTATGGCATCTTTCCAACACTGAATGAAACTGAAAGTATTGTAAAATAAATATCTTCACTAACACTCTGAAAATAGTTACAAGGTAAATATACGTCAGTAATCATGATTTCATTTTGAAATTTAAAATGCAATTTTCTCCGTTTCACCACCGTGTCACTTACGACATTCTTGCTCATATTATGAGGAAGCCTCTTGAATGGAGGCCTGACTCTGATAGATCTGATGATGAATTCTTGACTTTTTAGATATAAGCCTAAAGGTTGAAATAACCGATGTCCATTGCGGTGTAGGCTACGGTGCGGAAAGATCGACACATTAGTGAACATACGAGGTACGGATCCGGACACGATGCGAACACAATCACTTCTACTATTTTCTACTGTATCTATCATCCCACACCGTATACCGTCTATTCCCATCTTTAATAAACAAAACGAGAACCAGATGCTTATTAACATGTTGCATATCTACATTTTATCTACAGTCTTTAAAATGAAGGAATTCCAAATTTAGTTGAGAGAAATTGTACTTGATCCATGGTAATATATAGCTAACAAAGTAAGAACACTAAAGGATTTGATGATCAATTCTTCTTAAATATG